TTGGATTCAGGTCACAGGAGGGGACAGAAAGACCTCGATTTCTGACTTTGATTAAGCTCGTAAGATTTCCTGGTTCCACCTCGAAAAAGACAGGTGGCCGGGCAGTGTTATTATGAAATATTAACCCAAACTGCCACGGATCCCAAATTTGTCTGCAAATTGGAACTACCTGGGGAGCTCAGAAATTGCTGACACCTATGTCCCACGCTCAGAGACTGGGATTTAATTAGTCTGGTGTGTGGCCCGAGTTTGGGAATGTTTTTAAAGACCCCCAGGTAATTCTAATGAGCAGGCACGTTTTGGACCCACAGAGCCAAAGCAGTAACACTAATAATTGCTGAACAAGCGACACACATTAGCTCATTTAATCTACAGGAGAACCCAGCTATTACTGGGGTTTTGTTGGTTTTGGTTTTTTGTTTTGACACAGAGAAAGAAAAAAGGTTGTAATGTTTAAGTAACCTGTGTAAAATTACACCTCTAACGGCAGAACTGCCGTAAGGCCCTTGCACAGAAGCACAGCCAGAGTTGAAGAATTCCAGGCCTGGAGGTATACTGCCCTTAGTACTATTCTTGCTGGCAATGTTTACCATAAAAATGTATCTAAGTATTTGGAATGTCAGAGCCCATCGTATTAGGTCCCTGGAATGTAAGCTCTAGGAGAGTCGGGTTTTTACTTTTTTGGTGTAGGTTCTATGTCCAGCACCTGGAATATAATAGAAGCTTAAAAAATATTCAATCAGTAGTTCATTCAATACATAAGTTAATGATAATTGAAGTATATACTAATAAATATTTTCTAATTCATATTTATCAATCTTCAACCAACAATAGTTAATACAAGATTCATAAAAATTGAATCTTTTAAGCGCTGAAAATATTATCAGTTTATAATATCCCATCCAACTCAGTATTTTTACTAATTTTTCCAAATTGAGATTAAAGCATACATAATTAAAATATGATTTTCCCATCTGTTTTTATCAGTGATTGAGCATGTTTTTAATATATTCAATGTACTTGTATTTTCAATACTCAAGTTTCAATGCAGAAGTACTTTCAATACAAAAGTAACAAAAAATTACTGTTATTATAATTAATGTTTAACTCCGTTACAGTTTCAGTTTGTCAGATCATTGACTCTTAGCTGAAAAATAAGCACCATAATACACCTGACTTTGTACCATCACCACCACACCTGTGTCTGGCCTGTACTAGGAATTCAATTAATACCTGTTGACTGGATGGATAAATGAATAAAGGAATGTATACAGAGGCAGGAAAACAAATCAAATAATTGTTCCAATTAATATTGATCTTAAACTTCCCTTTTTAATCTAACAGTGGAGTTAAAGCTAGTTTTCATTTTGTTAATCTTCAGCCAAAAAAAGCGTAGTAATAAGTCTTAATTGCTATATAATTATACATAAATCTTAATAAATTTTAACAATAATCTTGTTTTATTGATTTGATTGTTTTAGAGCAAATATATTAATTTTGCTGTTTACTATGTATCCTTAGATCTTTTATACTTTATGTTAACAATATTTAAGACTTGTATTGAAAGAAAAGGACAGACTGTTCATTCGTCTATCACAGTATGGGAAACATTTTTCTGTATCTTTTTATATAGGTATAATTAGTTTCTTATTGTGCGTACTTTGGGTAAAAGATATAGTTTCCATATGATTTTATACCAAGTTGTAACAGCCACATTACGAAAATACTTTCTCTGAAATGAGTAGCTAAAAGTGCATACCTTGGAAAGTAAGATACTCTGTGACCCGTTCGTTGGGAATAACCAGTCTGTGATATCAGTTGAAAAGTTTAGAAAAAACAAATCCCAACTGCATTACAAAGCAGGGCATGCAAAGGGGAAAGTTCTGGAGTGGTTTTTGATCTGGGTTTCTGTGGTACGTAATACTGGCTTCCCAAAGCTGCCCATGTTCTAATCCCTGAAACCTGTGAATATGTTACCTGACCTTATATAAAAGGAACATTTCAGCTGTGATTAACTTAAAAATCTTGAGATGGGGAGCGGAGCCGGGATCATGCAGGTGTGCCCAATGTAATCACAAGTGCCCTTATCAGAGAGTGATCAGAATTTAAAAAGTACGAGGATGAAATTGTAGGTGAGAGTAATACAGAGCTATAAGTCAAGGATTCCAGGAATTTCTAGAAACTGGATAAAGGAAGGAACCAAAGTCTTCAACTAGAGATTCCAGAAGAATATAGCCCAGCCAATCCATTTTGAAATTTCTCACATCTACAACACTAAGATAATAAACTTGTATCGTTGGGCACCAGGTGGCTTAATCGGTTAAGCGTCCGACTTTTGATCTCCACTCTGGTCTTGATCTCACAAGTTGTGAGTTCAAGGACACATAGGACTCTGTGCTGACAGCTTGACGAAGCCTGCTTGGGATTCTGTCTCTCCTCTCTGCCCCTTCCCTGCATGTTTCTCTCTCTCAATCTCTCTCTCTCTCTCAAAATAAATAGACAAACTTTAAAAAATTAATAAATTGTATTGTTTTAGGCCACTAAATTTGTGATTTCTTATAACAACCATAGGAAACTAAAACAATTTCATACACAGGAAAACCTTCAAATTTACATGTTAACCGTAATTTCCAAATGAAGTTACACATAATTAGAAATATATTCATGTGACTAACGAAAGAAAAGGCTGTTCATTTGACTTCACTTATGTCCCATAACTACACCCACAGTGCACTATGATTTTTAAAATACCCTTTATCCTGTGAATAATGAAATGTGTTTCATTGTACTGTGACTGTTCAAAGCATAGCTTTGTTAAATGTATGCCACAATTTTATAAACTCACTTTGACATGTCTTTTTTTAATGCTTATAGAAGTGCCCATTAAATGGAAGTGGCTCTCATCTGTATATCTGAAAGACCCAAAACTACCTTTTGTTGTTTGTTTCTACATGTCAGTGTACCCTGGAAGATTATCTTGGGGATATTATTATTATTACTGAATTTTAGATCAAGCTGAAGTTTATTTTTTTACTGTTAACTCAAGTATAATTGTCACTGCCAGTCATTCCCCTCCTCCCCAAACACACTTACTATTTAATAGCTATTCTAGAGGTTACTTGGGGTGTTGCTCACAAATGCTAATGAACAGCTTAATGGTTTACCCTTTAATTCTGTTGGAATAGGAGCCAAACAAAATATATAATTGTTCTACCAAGGGCCAGCCCCAACATTTCTGTCAGCCTATGAATTCTGTTTTGCCATTGTGTCTTATGAAAATGCTACAGTCTATTAACCCCTGACCTTTACCTCATTTTTATATGTAAGAAAAATGATGCTCCACAATGAGGTCTTTCTGTGGGTAATTCAAACTAAACACCACATGACAACAAGATTATCATCTTTCATTTTCTCAATATATCTTACAAAGCTAATTATCAACTGTCACAACTGTCTACTTTGTTTTTCCTATTACAGCTAAAAAAGGAAACAATGATGAATAGCCTTAGGACTGAATGATAAAGTTGACATCATTAATATTACTAAAGTTTAATTTGTCATAAGAATCAGTTGGGGACAATTTTGAACATATATAGTGTTTCTTATGTATTTTATATAATGTCATTTGCATATTATATATTATATAATAATCTTAGAAAACATATTATTGGCACCTTATGACAGAAAATTAGATTCAGTAGACCTGCAGTATGTCCAGAAATCTGCCTTTTTTAATATGCTTCCTTAGATGATTCCAATGTTAAGCGTGAAGCAGACTTAAATAAACATTGAATTAAAAAAAGAATGACACCCAATTCACTTTATATTCAGTGCATTTAATTTCAAGACCTAAAGCAAAAGGCATGTAGTATATTAAACATGCCACATAAAAATTGCATAAGAAATCCATTAAAACAGTTATGTCTTATTTCCTTGCTAATTTAAAAGGAGGAAAACACAAGGAAAAAATATTTAAGTACCGGGGAAAAAGAGATGTTT